TTTTATATATATATTTTATTGATTTTTTACAGAGAGGAAGAGAGAGGAATAGAGAGTTAGAAACATCGATGAGAGAGAAGCATCGATCAACTGCCTCCTGCACACCCCTCACTGGGAATGTGCTCGCAACCAAGGTACATGCCCTTGACTGGAATTGAACCTGGGACCCTTCAGTCCACAGGCCGATGCTCTATCCACTGAGCCAAACCGGTTAGGGCCTCATTGTGGTTTTAATTTGCATTTCCCTGATGATCAGTGACTTTGAGCATCTTTCTTTCCTTTTTAGAGTTCAGCCCAGTTCCTGGCTTGCTTACATCAGTAATCCTCTCCCTTTCCTCAGGATGTCCCTCAACGCTCTGCAGGCCCTTGTCACTGTTCTCCAGGCACCTGCACCGCCGCTGCCTAGTCATACACCTCTGCTGCGTCTTCCTCTAGCTCCCCACTTCCCTTTCTCTGGCATTTGATATTGATGACATTGCTGTGGCCAGCTCGGTTCTGAGGATTGCGTCTCTGATTCCCAATGGTGCTAGGCCTGGATCTTGGCGGGGTTCAGTGGGGGAGGTGTGGGCCGGTGCCTGTGTTGCCATGGCCCCCTGTGGCACCTCCCCTCACCCTCCAGAGCGAGCTTCCACATCCTCTGTGCATCCACTGACACCTGTCCTGCTCCTCTCCTCTGCCCTGGAGGTGAAGGATGTGACCTAAGCACACAGGCCTGTTAGGATCCCTGGGCCCAGTTCCTGAAACACAGTAGGTGCTTAGCAAATGCTCCTTGAATGAGGACTGGGACTGAAGGCCCAGTTCCTCCTGGGCTCCTCTGAGGCTGTAGCCTCTGCCTTTGTCCCTGCAGGGGCCACACGGTGCTGGGCATACGCTAGATCCTCAGTGTGTCCTGTCCCGCGACTGAAAGGAAAGGGTAAGGAATGGTTTATAAAAGTGACGAGGGCCAGGGGAATTCATAGCAGGGTGGTGCCGGCCAAATGATAATAGAGTTTTCTAGTATCCCCCCAGCTGTTTCCATCTAACCGTGGCTTTGAAACACTTCGGTTTTTATTCCATTTGTGAAATGCTCAT